AAAAATCAATATTCCATCTCATTTTCTATGCGTCTCATGAGTTTCACATAAATGTCCTAAGCATTCCTCGCACCGTGGTGATCAGCACAAGATATGCATGTGGCGGCCACCAAATCTGTGTCACACCTGTTCAAACTCTGATATCATATGTCACATGATGTAGATGTTATAAAAAAAAAAAAAGAAAATCAAATTGATCTAAAAAAAAGAACATTATCAATGAATAAGATATTTGTGACAAGAAAAATCTACCGTAATCGGTTACTTTACTTTTTGCACACAAGTCATTTTAAGCATACAGTAATTAATTAAGTCTCTGTACAAATATGGTGCCACATTGTCTCCTCATGAATAATGGCGTTTAATAAAACACCAAAATTTCAAGCCACCTGACCTCTGAAACGCGCAAAAGAGCCTCAATTAATGGGCCCATGTTTGGACTTCCCGAATGGAGCCGTCCACATGTCGCCTGCAGCGCCTGGTCAGTGGTGAATGTATGTATGTCAATGTATGCTTCTAACTAGAATAGAACAACCAAGTGTGCACCTTCGGTTGCGCTATTGAAGCTGTAAGGGAAGTGGGAATGGTGTGGTGTCCTGTTTGAAGATTCAACTGAGGTGGAAATGGAAGGAATGAGTGTAGTACGTCGTAGAATGTAATGTGCCGACTAGCGTCACCATGGAAACTGAGAGGGTCAAAGCAGTTAGCCGTTGCTTCAGCACACAGTTTAGAGGAAACATTGGTCAAAAGTTTTTAACATGTATTATCTTATTTTTTTTCCCCCAAAACTGAAAACTTTAAAAGTGTATTTATTATTCTGTTCCAAGGTCACCATCATAAAACTTGCATTAACTTTACAGGCAATGTTTAAGTCACATTTTACCTTTATTTTGGTTTGTTTGATTTTTGATTTACTATCGTACAAGTGTAAACAAAAGTAATTACTGGAAAGGATCCCAAAGCCTTATATCTGACAAATCAACCACAAATAAGAACCCGCTCTATACTAAATTCCTGGTTAATCACTCAATGTACTGTACTGTTGAGTGTCTCACAGTAACACATTGCTGGTCGCCAGGTGACGGAGATGGACATCTCCAAGCAGCTGCATGCATACGAGGTGGAGTACCATGTGCTGCAGGACGAGGTGGGAGAAGGGGGCGCTACGCCCGACGACTCGGAGCGCCTGGACAAGTTGGAGAAGACCAATGTGCAGCTGAAGAAGCAGAACATGGAACTGCTGGAGAAACTTCAGGTAAACAGCATACGTTTGAGTTGGTGGCTGTTGGTGGAAAGGTGTAAGGTCTCAGATTTCCTGTAGATGGCAGTGTCACAAAACTTAAAAGAAAAATAAAGGCAGCGCATGTTCAGAGCAGTAATTTGTCACTAAATTAATTGAGCTCTTTTATAATCACTAATATCTGATGCAATATAGTAGCAGCATGCTGTTATTGTGGTTTGCAGGTCCGTCTCACAGTTGACAAGTTCTGGATTCAACTCTTCCAAAAATGTCAGTTTTCAGATATTTGTCAAGGATTATTATACTAAATCCTGTTTGACTTGCCATGAGATTAGTTTTATTTCATTTGTCCTCTGAAATATTTAACACTGTGTATGTTTACATTTTTATGTTTATAATAATCATTAAAGGCCACCTATTAGTGTTGTGGTTATCCATCCGCTACACAGTTGACAACTCCCATGCTTGATTCCCCCCAAAATTGGTAAACATCAAATATATTCCAATTATATTACAGTGGGATTTGGGAAGTACAGTCAACATATTGTTGACAGTAATATGTAATGACACAACAATGACTTATAAGACACCCAATGTGTACTGTGTATGAACATGTTGAAATTCATAATCATCTTATGGTAGTAAGGAATACTTAATACTGTACGTTTTAGGGGTTTTTTTTGCATTCAATTTTCATAATTCACGGTTTGGGCAGCTTGGTTCCAGATCATCCGCAACCCTAATAAGGAGAAGTGCTAAGCAAAATGCATGGATGGATGGAAATATGAAAGAACACTATCCTTCTGTGATGTTTTAACCAGGCGGCCCGGCAGAAGATCCAAACCCTGGAAACCAACGTGGAGAACTTCCTTTCCCGCGAGAGCAAAATGAAGCACGTGATCCGCACACTGGAGCAAGAGAGGTCGGCCCACCAGAAGACAATCGAGCGCATGCGCTCTTGCCTCCCGCCTGATGTACTCACCGACGTGGAGATGACCCACATCAAGGCGCCAGCGGCGCCCGACGCAAAAGCCAAAGCCGGCGCCAAGAAGCCGTGATTGCGAACAAAAGTGTACAGTGACTTGCAGAGGGGTGTAGTCGGACTCCAGTTTTGGCACACACACTGCACTGCTCGATCACATCGATTTGATTATTGGGGACAGTACAGTGGAACATCTAAGGTCCGTACCCACAGGAAATTATGGGGAGGAGAAATAACCCTGGGTCGAACTTGACATTTATTAACTGTACAATGCAAGTACTTGAAGTCACAATTTCATTTTCATTTTAATTGTGTCTTCCTTTGACTTTAGGGATTCCACTGTTAACTCTTCACCTTTCACCCCAAGAAGGTACAGCCCAAGGGTTAAAAAAGAGAGAAAAAAGAAAAAAAAGGTCTTCTACCCCATCGACAACCCGTTTTTCATCTTTTCCAAAAATGAATCTTTATGTAGCATTGACTGTTGTGTAAAATCAAGCACAACACCCCAGAGTGGATTTCTTGGAAGTAACACTCGCTTTTCTTACGAATGGCTTTGCTTTTATTCACTTGAAGCTTTTGCTGTTGTCGTTGAATGTATTTTTCGTCCAAAGAGATTTTTCTTTCGTTTCCAGAAAAAAACGACTTGAACTTTTCAGAATGTCTTCTTCTCCTCTTTAGGAGGAAGTGCCTCTTTCAAAAGCTCAGACAGGATGTGAGGTCGTCTGCCTCCTCGGTTTCCTGTGTGACTGACCGCAGTGTCGCCTCCATGTCAGAACTCAATCAAACAAAACGTTTGAGGTGGAGGATTTGAAGATGACTTTCCTTTTTTGCTGCTTTTGCCAAACCAAAACTCTTCTCACTCTGCCCTTGCGAGGGTTGAACAACATAACACTTAATTGATTGTTAAGAATTTTGGTCAATTGTGTCGAGTAGATTGCTGATGTCTTGAACATGGAGAGCACTATATAGCTGTGATAAGCAGGAGGCACTCTTAATTCACTCTCAACCAGTTTGCTGTCTAAAGAAATCCAACGTGATGTCAGTTGTGGCCTACAGCCACACTGTGACAAAAGAATCCGAAAAATTACGAGCTTTTTACAACTTTTTTTTCCCTGTAATATTAAAGACTTATTTCTCAAATAATTAAACTTTTATCATTTTAAAATCTGTCTGTACTGATTCACTATCCACTACTTTACTGTCTAAAGAACACATTAAAACATAAAATAGTTCCCGTAAATATTATTTACTATTGATTTTTATAAGACTGTTTGTTTTTTTTTCCCATAAAGTGCAACTTCATTCTCTTATTCTGACTTAAACATAGAAGAACACCTTGACATCAGCGAATACCAACATCCATGTTGTAGTAGAAGGGATTAGAACCAATTCTCGTCAAGAAACAGTGTTACTTTTTTTTTCTTTAAAAAAATAAAAAGTAAAGTCAACAGACTGAAACCAGCAGAGGTGCTGTCGATTTTGTCTTGACTAGTTTGCTGTCTAGAGGAGGCTAATATGACATCATGACAATTATCGTACTAGATGTGACATTGGCACGGGAATAGGAGTCCAAAACATTCAAAGAGAGTTTTCTTCATCCATTTAAAAAACATGAGCAAATTAACAATCGATGACTTGATGGTTAATTTTCCCCGTGGTCGGAATGTTTGTACAAAGTTGTTGTTTTTCTCTTCTTTTTTTTTTGTGCAGGTGAATTGATGTCCTTTTGCTGTGTGCTAATGTGCTTCTTAAGTTTCCGTTTCACGCGAGTTGCATTGTTGCAGAATAACATGCTCCTTCTTTCCTGGCACCTCACTTTTGTTTCAAGTGCGCCACCCCGTTTGACTCACCTGTTCCGGTCCTGACTGAGAACGAAACATCCCCGAAATGAAAGCACATTTGATTCCGTCTGTCAGCCTCCTCATCCTTGTACAGATTTGTGTCTTTGTACACTCAATTTTAAGTGCTATGAGTGTGGAGTGTTTTTTTTTTTTTTTTCTTGGCGTTTGCATATGTTTACCAGCACTTTGCCTTGTTTTTGTTTTGCTCAGGTAGTGTGCTGATTACTGGTGCAACACGTTTATCTCCAGTTTGCGCTACTTGTTGGAAATTGTCAATGAAAACCAAAAGTGTTTGGTTTGTTTTGGGGACGAATAAAAAAGGTTTTGTATGTTCTGTGGGATTTTAACTTGAAAGTCAAAATATTTGTCCCTTTTATGGAATTTTACAAATGAGTACCGGGTACTTGAACTATGCTGCAAAGAAACTGATGGACTATCAGTCCAGAATAAAGTAAAAATTATTAGAGAAAAAAAATAAATTAGGGGTTGTAATGGAATGGAATTATTTCTCAAAATAATACAACTTTTAAGAATAATTCTACCTTTCTCCTTGGAGTTGGAAAATAATTACTAGTGTCTTTAAAAACACAATTTTTCCATTTATATTACATCTTACATTGTTAACATTACTAAAATTGAGCCTATTCCAGCCATCTTCGGCCAGGAGCCGGGGTACCCCCCAACTGGATGCCAGCCAATGGCAGGCCACACATAGACAAACAGTGTAGAAAAACTATGTTTCAATTTGTGCATTGTCCTTCCTAAGGGGCTGGAGGATGGGGTGTGAATCCCAATAAGGGTCAAGTGTTTGCTTGTTTTAATTTTGTAAAATATAATCAAATTAAAAAAATATATTGACAAAAACAGCTAGATCAGTGATGAGCAATTAGGGTCCTTCGCCTACTCTCGGACTGGGCCCCCCGATTAATTTCTGAAAATAAAAATATACTGTTGCTCAGCCATTGGAAGATGTAATACCAGTGTTAACCACAAGACAGCAGACGTCGCTCATCAGTGCCTCCAACCCCCAGGCTAGAATTGTGAAGAAGAGTGTGTCATGGACCAACAACATCGATCTCAAAAGTATGCAAACAACAGTGATTGTGTTTTTTTTTTTCCTGCAGCGATGACAGTTCGTTTAAAGTTCATGGGCATTTAGTAAGAAGTTGTCCTCCCAAAACATGGATTTATTTAACGCTTAAAAGTGTTTCAACTGTGCATAGTGGTTTGTGATGGACGCATCCAGGACCAATTTCATTGCTGTTCACACAGGTGAGTGAGCCAGCCTATTCGTTGGGGAATTGATTGTCGTGTTGGAAAACATATGATTGGATAATATTAAAAAAAATACAGTTGAGTTTTGTCAAAATAATGCACATAAAAGTTCCTGGAATTAATCTTGATTTGTTTTGCAGCAATGCCATTTTTTTATACAACTGGTTCGGAAGTGTGCGGTCCTATGTGCCCCCCCCCAAGTAGCGCTGATGAGTAACAGCCCCCGCCTCGATAAAAGTTGCATTATCCCTGGGCTTGCTACATGAGCTCCACGAACATATTATCGCCAGCTAATTCGGGATTTAATTATTTCACCCGCTTGCTTTGTCTGGTGGCGCACTGGATCTGAGAATGGCAACTTGGGAAAACAATGACTATTCTTTTTTTTGAAATTATAACTTTAAATAGATTTTAAAAATCGATATCTATATTGCACATTACACCATTACCATAAAATGTTTATTTTCTCATTCTTCTTATATTCTCATTACAAAGACATGTTATTGTAATATTATGTCTGTTTTGTTTTTAAAAAAAATGGACCTATTTTTCATGAAATTGCAGCACTTGAAACTTTGTTGTTAGATTAAACCTAATAAATGTTGACTTTCCCTCGTGTTGTAAACGCAACATTATTTTCTAAACTTTTATCTTGGGGAAATCTAACTATTCTCTTCAGAATTTTGACTGTTTTCATAAGATTAGAATTTACTTCGGGGGAGGGGGGAATGCTACTTGGAAAGAGAAACACTCTTCTTTTTGGAAGATTGCATGTATGTTTAGCTTCCTCTCTGGATTGGATGCAAAGTATTTTGACCAGAATGAGTTCCACTGCCAACAAGGGTCTCTGTTAGTGAACCCCTCTCCCCCCGCTCCCGATAGGATGGTCTAACCGCTAAAGTGTGGTCTGCAGTCACACTCTGCAAGCCTGTAGCTCATCCCGCATCCAGATGACCGCCAACCGGCAGCCTATCACACAATAAAAACAAAGGAGGCCACATTCCTCGGGTATTCCCACACGAGCGTACATCCTGGAGCAGGGGAAGAGCGGGACACCGGGGTGGAGGAGTGGGGGCCGGCGGGGGGTCCAATGGGGACTGACTGTGAATGACACTTCCTCTGCCGAGCATCTTATCAGCTCTGTTCACGCTCTCTTATTCCAAATCCTCACCCTCTCAATCCATCTCCTGCTTGATCTGGGGTCTTGTTAGGATGCTCACTCAGGAAAATGAAGCAGTAGTTTTTTTTCTTGTTGTTGTTGTTGTTGTTTTAATAGTACTGTAAAACTTCTTTTCACAAGCAGTTGGGAATGAGCCCTGCCTCAAAAGGCAAAGTAAAGAGAATTAAGTAATTGATGCCTCCCCCATTGAAAAGGTTTTGAATTAGAAACTTGGAAGAAAATCTGTTTTTTTTGGGGGGGGGGGTTTGTCTGAACGAAACTCCTCAAGTCAACATAGTTCCTCGACACCAAGATGCCACAGGATGGCCAAAAATATATATTTTTTGTCAAAATGAAATTCCTCAAAGAACTTAAACAGAGTTGTTTGATACCAAGATGCCTGAAGTTGGCGCCTTAAGCTGAGCACATAAATTGTGAAAGGTGAATTTTTTGCAGCAGAATAACAGGATAGCCGACCCCCCCGCAAAAAAAAAATCTTTGAATATGTTGTAGCGTGAATGTGTGGCCTCAGTGTATATGGTAATTACTGATGGTAATACCCTCACATGTGGGAAAGGAGAGCCACAGTAAGCTTAGCACGTTTCAGTCATTTGTTGGGTGTCGGGAGATTATAAACACACAAACTCAAAAGCTGCTGTCAGCCTTAGCTCATGCCCAGTTTCTCACACGGGGGCGGCATGGCTCACTGGTAGAGTGGCCTCTCCTACCCCAGAGGTTGGGGGTTCAATCCCTGGCCATTGTCAAAGTGTCCTTGAGCAAGATACTGAATCCACAGTCGCTCCTGATGCTGCGTCATCAGTAGGTAAATGAGGAAGTAGTGTTAAGCGCTTTGAGTACAAGTGACAGCCATGTACCATTTATGCAGACTCACTGTCACACGCTGCGCCTTCCAGGCTCCACCTCTCAGAGACACATAATCTCACACACAGACACAACAATACATAGAGTATTTTCTGTACATTTTATGCTTGCAATTTTTTTCTGTTCAAATGTGTTTTTAAAATGTGTGTAAAAAGTCTGTTTTAGAAAGTTTAATGCCAAGAACGCATAAATACAGGTACAAGGCAATGCAATGTGCTTCACACAAAGCCTTTACAAAACAACTAGGGACATTCAAAAGCTAAATAGAGAAAACAAACTTTGGAACAACTTAGGAAAACCGTTAGGGATATTAAAAAGTAAAGAAATAATAAAGTAGTGTTCTAAAATGACAACAAGACTATACAGTCAAATTAATTTAATCAAAGGGGGGGGGGCATCGTTTTCACTTCTCCCGGTACTGTATTTGATTTTTGAACGTATTACCACCGATGAACCATTCACTCTATAGATGTTCAGGTACCAACTACATTATGTTATTACATTTGTGTGCGTATATGTCACAAGGGGCTTTGGAGGTCGATAGCAGCAAACGGGAGGAAAAGTTGATGATGTAAGCCAGCTGCGAGAGAGCCAAGCAGCTTTAAGAGTGTCCTCGTGCCTTATATGGAAATTTTATCTGCTCCACTCCTGGTGCACTCCCAAAACATTGTTCTAGTGGACCACAACCACTGTTATGAGTAGAACAGGCACGCTCGTCATTTGCTTCCCAGCATTAGTAAGTGCGTGGTAAATGTGCAGCAGAGTGATAGATACAGATGGAGAGTTGTTTTTTTTTTTTTTTTTTCCTCCCCCGGAGGGAGGAGACAAGTACGGGAACGGGAGGGAAAACAGCTGGAAGGGCTGGGAGACCCAGGTGGGCTCCATTGGGTCCAAAGAGTGAATATGGCTCCCTTGAGACCTCATTCACACACGTGCATATGTTCAGTAGTATGACCCTTGAACCGTGCAATTAAATTCATTTATTTGCTGTGACGTATTCTTCGTGAGTCACGTCACTCTTTGGTGGCGCGAGTCCATCCTCATAAAATTCAAAATCACGAGCCGGAGAGACCATAGTTTCTTTCATTCAGCATCAAACACAGTTTTAGATGGCCAGAAACACATAACATCAAAACCCAGAAGCTGACGGCACTGAAAGCGTATATTTCAAAAGATGTTTTTCCTGACATCACATCCGCTATTTGCCGATTGGTTCATTCCACTGTCTGTTTGCTCAGGTTTGCCCCGCCTCAGAAATGCCATTCCTGTGACTGTGACCACTCATGTTGATTGGGACAATCCCCTGTGTCAGCGAATGACCTGCAAACGTTTTTGGCACTGACTTTTATCACTGGTTTGTTTAAAAAAAAAAACAAAAAAACAAAAAACATATTTTGAGGGGTTGAATAATATGCTGTGTATCGTGTTAGGTGCGCTTACACAAGCCAGATCGCTTCTATGTACCACACCGAAAAAAGAATGCTTCTAGGGGTGGAAGTGTGGCGTGCGCACACACACACAAAAACACACAGACAGACACACACACACACACACACACACACACACAAGAGTGTGTGTAAAAGAAGAGAGTTAAATTTTTCTTTTGGTAGGTTCCATGTTTATATAGCCATAGAACACAATATCCTGTGGGCCTTTGAAGATAGGTGAAATTCCTCTAAAATGGCTGGCACTCCGAGGGTTGGCTGTGCTGCAAACGATGACATTGAATTAGTTCACGATCTTTTCCTCATTTTTACATGTTCAATAAATAAATGTCACAAAAAAGATTTCCATCAGAATGGCCAAGGGAAATCATGCGGAACTCATTGGAATTTGGAAAAAAGATAAATTAGAGAAATAGTGAGCTCTCGTTTATCATGGGGTGATGTTCCAGGCTACTTGACTGTGACAGACAACGTATGCAAAGTAATGACCAATTGAATTAGTTCACGATCTTTTCCTCATTTTTACATGTTCAATAAATAAATGTCACAAAAAAGATTTCCATCAGAATGGCCAAGGGAAATCATGCGGAACTCATTGGAATTTGGAAAAAAGATAAATTAGAGAAATAGTGAGCTCTCGTTTATCATGGGGGTGATGTTCCAGGCTACTTGACTGTGATAGACAAAGTATGCAAAGTAATGACCGAATATTCATTTTATTGTTTATAAAGTATTCAGTATTTTTCAAAGCTTCATGCATACAATACCAAAATATATGCATGTGAGGTATGATTTTGTCCATATTCTACCTGTGGCTGAATGTATACGTGCCTTCAAAAAAAAAAGGGGGGGGGGCTAAGTGTTGAAGGGACAACAGAGTAAAAGAATGAAAGTGTAGCCTCAGCTGGTTGTTACTGTAACCGGCAAAACCATTATCCACGCTGCTATGAGTGACTCAACGTCAGTTGTGACAAACATCAGGTCATGCGTGAATATGTGCTTGTATTCATTTTGTTAGCTTTGTTCACTAAAACAATTGAAAGTGCACCAGTGGCTGTGTCTATCCTAGACCAAGTTAGGAGGATTTATTGTTGATTCAAATTCACAATCGTGGTTTATTTTAAATTAGCTAACAATATTTACTTCTCTGTTTTATAATTTAATGGGGAAATTTACAGTCCACAGCAGCAAGATAATGGGGAGAAAGAAGAAAGAAGAAAAAGAAAACAAACACCGTTCAATTAAGTGCAATATAAATACAGATATGGAAAAGTCACAGCGCTATTTACAATTGTCTTCCACATCATTTGTTTATTTTTTATTCAGCAGCCTGACAGCAGTCGGTTGGAAGAAGCGGTGGTATCGCTCCTTCTTGCAGCGCGGGTGTAACAGTCTCTGGCTGAAGGAGCTACCTAGTGCTGTCAGGGCGGGCTGGAGGGGGTGGGAGGGACTGTCCATCATAGCTTTTAGCTTAGTTAGCATCCTCCTGTTGCCCACCTCCTCCAGAGTGT